TTGTTATTGACCAAATACTTATTTTCCACCATAATTTGCACATAAATTCTTTAAAAATCCTACAATGTGATTTTCTGGATTTTTTTTTTCCTCATTTTGTCTCTCATAGTTGAGGTATACCTATGATGAAAATTACAGGCTTCTCTCATCTTTTTAAGTGGGAGAACTTGCACAATTGGTGGCTGACTAAATACTTTTTTTTCCCCCACTGTATATTAGTATGTAAACTTTTATTTTGAATGCGATTAATCACGATTAATTGTTTTACAGACCTACTCATAACATTTATATTTTTAATAAAATCGAAACACTAGTCAAGTAAAATATAGAGAAAAATAATTATTGACAATTGTTTCATTTATGAACATGGAAGTGGTGAATGCATTACATTGTGGGATGCAGTCTTTGAAAGTACATGCTCTGACAAATGGTATATTGCTCAGATTGTAGTAGGTAAATCAGATAGCCTATACTATGGATACAGAACATTGAACATACTAATTTATGTCTCATTCATACTTTTGTTCAAGGGAAACCTGTGAACTCTATATTTGTCACACCTGCTGTTACACCTATCAAAAGTCTGTTGGAGCCATATTCCAACAATCCTGGCGTCCGTGCGTATTTGTACCACCCTGAGAATTATGGTTTACTGGTAAGTGTCCACCAACTAGCAAGTTTAAAGGGGTCATTGGATGCAAAATTCACTTTTACATGTTTTAACATAAACGTGTGTTGGCAGTGCGTGTACACATCCTATAATGATAAAAATCCACCCAGTGTTTTTGTTTTTTTTAAATCCCCAATAATAATGATCACTTTCTCAGATCAGGCTGTTCTGAGATTCTTGGCAGAGTGACGTAGTTCTGCACAGGCTATTGACTGACATGGCCGTTTTAACGTAGACTCGCCCTTAGTGAGCTGTTAAAAGTCCACCATTGTTTCAGTGCTGGAGCAGATGTAGACAAGAATGTCTCCTAAGCGATTGAGGTGTTTTGTTGTTGGATGTAATAATGAACATAGCAGTCGTCATTTACTCCTGACATCTGAGCTACTGAAGACGCAGTAAATTACTTTTGCTTTTGAAGGGAATGCACCCCCGATCTACTTAAATGCGTTTATGTTTGCACAAATCATTCATGATCAAGCTTCACCTACAGAAGAAGGGAGTATAAGGTTTTTTTTATGAATCTTTGCAAATCGCCTTTCCTAATAATGTGCTAGTTAGCAAGTTCTGTAGCTAAATGCGGCTAAAGTTTAGAGTCCCATGAGAACGGCTCGTCACCCTACGGAAGAGAGGGGTGGGGTAAGCCGAGCTCATTAGCATTTAAAGGGACATGCACTGAAATGGCTAGCTGTGAACGGATCTGTTTTTGACAAGGTAAAAAGCATGTTGTTTTACACTACCATTGAGAAATTTTAACCAAAGTATGTTATAGACTTTTCATTAAGACCTTAAAGAATTATCAACTTTACATTTTTATGGAGTTTTATTTTATTTTTCATGGATTTTATTCTATTATTTTTTTTTTTGTGTGTGTTTTATTACTTTTTTTATTTTGGGAACAATATGGTAATGATCTTGACACAGCCTGGAGAGTATTTCAAATACTAGGTTTTTATTTTGTTTTATTTTGAATTATAGTTAACAGTGTTGGGGGTAACGCATTACAAGTAACGCGAGTTACGTAATCAGATTACTTCAAGTAACTAGTAAAGTACTGCATTACTTTTAAATTTAGATGGAAATATCTGAGTTACTTTTCCAAATAAGTAACTCCAGTTACTTTGCTTCGCATGTACTGACTGACAGCTCTAGTGTTGCCATGTTGAGAGAAATCGGGAGGTTTTAAGTGCAGAGGCGTGTGTGAACATGATGTTACTGTAGTTCTAGACTAAATATGAACATGTATTTACTCATCTCACTGGCACAAAAACAGATTCTGTATTCCTCAAAATGAATAAAAACAGTCAAATGCAAACTCAGAATATTATACAGACCTGCAGTATTTGTTAAATAAGACAAATATCATTTATGTATTTAATCCCATTTTATTAACCAATGTCTTTTCTGCTGACCTTCGATGATCCAATTCAACCATTCTAAGCAAAAATGTAACAGTTACTTTTTTAGGGGGTAACGCAATATTGTAATGCGTTACTTTTAAAAGTAACTTTCCCCAACACTTGACTGGTAAGTGTGCACCAACTAGAAAGTTTAAGCACTGATTTATTTACTTTGAGCACATTCCCCTAACAATTTTAATTTTATTGACAGCCTGGTAGAGAATATTTCAAATGTTGAGTTCAGTTCTGTCCACAATTACTATATTTAATTTTATTTTGAGTATTATGGTTTAATGGTAAGTTCAAGCACTGAGTTAATTACTCTTAGCACATTCTCCTTACGATTATTAGTTTACAATTATTATTATTTTGTGTTAAAATGCATCTTTAAATTCTAATATTTTGAGTTGTTTGAAGCTAAATGTTTGGCTTAAGTAACTTCACCACTGTTGTGCAATTCCTGTTTCTGAATGATTAATGGTAGTGTCCGTTCTAATTACATGGTGTGTTTTAATCAAGGTGCCAGCTCAAAGTGTGGCTCTTCCATTGCATCCCTTCTAATAATCACTTTCTCTCTCTTTTTTTTTTTTTCCTCCAAAGGATATTTGGCAATTCTATTTAAATCTCACAGAAGCAAACCTGGAACAAAAATCAGACTGGAAGCTGGAATACATTATGACTGAGGCTTTTAATATTGATGACATTCAGCCCCACAACTTGCATGAACTTGCTCTTAGGTTCGAGCAGCCACAGAGCAAAGACTTTGACAAGTATTTTAACCATTTTATGGTGAGCTACAACTTCAGCCTCACATGTGAGGGCTTATGCAAAACGATTCAGGTGTGCGCTGTGCACTTTTTGGATCAAGAAACCTACTCGCAATGTATTGCCAAAGCAGGCATATAGAGTAAGCTGTTACAGTTCTAGAGCATATACTTGAATTACTAACTTCAAACTTGATCAACTCTCTAAAAAGATGATTTTAAACTTTTGATTGAAAAGAAATCAGGGAACCTTTTATTTAAAGAATAATAATATTAGAGTGAATCTCAGGAAAACATCTCACTTCACCCCAAAACCAAAAGGTGAAAAAAGCTATTTGAAATTCTCATTTATATAAAGAAAATGAAGCCTAATTTAAGACCATGAACTTTATTTATATATATATTTTTTGTACTGTTACTTTATAATTATGACCATTTAAGCATGAACTTTTCCCCACAGAAATTCCCAAAATCATATTTTTTTTTGTAATTGCCATTTTATTTTTAATGATGAAATTTATTATATATATTTTTTTTCCTGTGTTGCAGTTAAACCTGTAATAAAAAGTAATGCTGCATTAAATAATAAAAATACAATTTAGAAAGATGCAACAAGTAATACTATTATTAAATACTTAATTTTCTTTATGCAAATGATGATTATTTTTTGTTTTTCATTTTGGGGTGAAACAATACCTGGTTCTTGACAGTTGTTTTTTTTTTTTCTAAGGTGCTATGCACACTGGTGATAAATGTAGGACATTTACCACTAAATCTAAATAAAATGTCCAGATGTACCACACATTCCTCAAGCAGTCAGTTATTGTACAAAATACTGCTATAAAAGAAATTTTTTTTTTTTTTTTTTTTTTTTGGGGAAAAAAAATCCTGTTTTTTTAGTTTTTTTTTTTTTTTTTTTTTTTTTTTTTTTTTTTTAGATTAAGTTGTGAAAACTGAACTAATTTTAAGGCACTTTAAAAATCTGTTTTTATTCTTTGTAAATGATTGTAATGATTTTTATACTTGATTAAATATGTAGTTGCACAAATAATTATGCATTTTCTAGAGACTTAAAATAAAATTGAACCCACTTCTTTCTGTCCTTTTGAAATTTTTTTTTGCTTTCAATATTTTGAATTGTTTATTTTTTTATTTTTTTTACTTGATACAACTTGTCATACTTTAATACACCACAGTTGTACTAGTACTGGTCACCTGTTAATCTTTTTAAAAAGAAAACCATGCATAAAATCCATTCCAAGCCTCCATCCCTGTACCCCATCCAGAGGCCCCATACACATTCGGACCCCTCGCCGCTCACTGCCTCTGCTGAAGGTCTTATGAAATGTTCTCTAGTTCATTTGTCTGGACCCCCTCCTCGTGTGGTCATTGGCATTCGAGTGCTACACTGCCTTTGATGACTCACAATGGTTTGTGGAAAGGATTGTGGAGCCAGAAAGTTGACACCGAGATAAAGGGGGCACCGTGGTAACTCTGGCAGGTTGTTTTAACGACTGGCTGAGATGCTCTAATCAGCATTCATCAGTGCTCTGCCAATCGTCTCCCTCAGAGTTCCACATAGACTCATCTGTAACGGGGACGAGTCAATATCTGCCCTGCCACACTGGCAGCGCTGAAGGAGGGATGGCTTTTTTTAAGCGTGGGGCCACACAAGGCTGTACCGAGGTGGGCTGGAGTTTGACAGGCGCATAAATCTCCGAGAGCTTTTTGTCTCCCATCTTGGATTGGTGAGCAGAAGACATTGTCCTGGAAAAGAGAGAGTTTCAAATGCTGGGTTCAGTGTTAGTTTTTTTTTTTTATATATATATTATATTTTATTATAAATTTTTAAATATCTTTTTTTATTTTATGTTTATTACATTTTATTTCGATTATAATTTATTTTTCATTTATTCAGTTTTTGAATTTTGGAAAAAATATTATAGTAATGGACTTCATACATAGCGGGGGGAGTATTTCAAATGCTGGGTTCAGTTCTGTCCATATTTTTAAAAATGTCATTCATTATTTCTATTGTAATTTATTTTTCATTTATTTATGTTTTTATTTAAAATTTTGGAAAAAATATTATAGTAATGGACTTGATGCATAGCGTGGATTGTATTTAAAATTCTGGGTTCAGTTCTTTCCATAAATGTGTTGTGTTTTGTGAAAAAATATTATGGTAATGAGGTTGACACGCCTGGAGAAACAAATGCCAGACATTTTGTAGAATGACCCTTATATTACTGTATAAACTAGCAAAATTTAGCAGTTTGTGAATCGTCCCAGGATGCATTGCTTACTACAAACCTCATTTTACTGCCATAAACATATGAGACCCCAGGGTCTAATCATAACGGATTACTTACTGGCCGATTAGCTAGTTATTGCTGTCACACATACTCAGCTCGGCTGGCAGTCCTGTGTCTACTTTAAAAGTTAAAGAGCTGTAACAGGCAAGGTCAGTGCTAGAGACCGGCATGGGTCAACTCGCCACTGATTACAGGGCCTCATTACGCTTGGGCAAACCCTCATCACAGCCTGTTCAGTCTTCAGACTATTGCTTTGATGGGCCTGCTTAACCTACTGCACTATTTAAGCTGTGGATTACTGTGGTGATTGTGTAACTATGGCAGCCCCCAGGGAATTGGAATTCATGGAATATGCTGGTTAATTTTATGAGCTGAGGCAGGGATACCAGTTGATTCAGTTCAAAAGAGAAATTATTACAAAGCTCTTGACCTGCTTTCATGTAGCTTATAGTCATATGTGTTTTTACCATTTTATTTAAGTTTCAGAATTTAAGAAAATAGTGTTTATTTAATTACTGTATTTATGCTACACTGTAAAAAAAATTCCGTAAAATTTACGGTTAAAAAAATGGCAGCTGTGGTTGCCGGAATTTTACCGTAAAATACCGTAATTTCATTAACTGATAAAATGTTAATATACCAACCTACTGAAGTACTGAAATCTGTTTTGCACCTTTGTAATACACTGATAACCACCAAATGCAGGTGGTGATGAGAAAGTCACACGATGAACCAAAGCCCATCACAAGCAGCTTTTAAATAATAGCATATATAGAAGGTGCACAGTGTCATTCACACAAACACCAAACACCATCATGGTAACACACATGAAACTGAAATAATGCAATAAACATTCATTTAACAACATTAGGTGTAACACACAACCCTAATATACAAAACTGATAAGAAAAAACTAAGAAGAAACATAGTTATTTCAACAAAAAA